GATTGTAAATGACTTTTTGAAATGAATGGGGTAAATCATTATGAATTACTACAGTGTAACAGCTCTGCACTGCAGCACAAGAGGGAACAGCAGGACAGTGTGGCAAGCACAGGGTTTATACACTGTCCTGAAAAGTGTATAAACCCATACTAACCTTAAGGTCTGGGATGTTGAACTTGTGGTTGGTGGAGAGGTTGTTGGTACGCGTGGTGGCTGCCATCATTTTGTCCCATGTTTGCTGGCAGGTCTTATCTCCCGGTGCAGAGATCAACCAAAACTCTGTCATGTTTCCAGCACTGGTGCAGCTCGAGAAAGCTGGAAAGGAAAGCCAGACTTAGACTAGTGCTTTCTCTAATATTATTAGCCTCTGCATTTAGTTAAACAACACTGTCTGTCTGATTACAAGTAAAAGACTGTTTGCTTACAGGGACACCGTTCCCCACTAAGCAAGTGATGCTACACTAGCAACAATTCATTCAATTCATTCAAGACAATTACATGCTGACGTTTCTCTTTCACCAACAGTCCATATCTTCACTCCCTGACTACTAACTAACGTTACAATACCGTAAATAAAAAAAATAAGCAATATGTTACATAAACCGTAGCTGACAAAACAAAAACATGGTTAAGGTCAAGCAGCATCCAGCTGGGATTAGCTATCGTTAGCCATTTCGCTAGCTTTGCTATTAACGGTAACAACTCAGGTACTTTTTGGTATCGTTTTAGCCGTTCACTCACCGGGGTATTAAAACGTTACAGTTGTTAGTGAAAATAAAGGTGTTTATAGTGTTTCTATAGCTTGACAGCGTTCATAGTTGCCATTCAGTACAGTTCGTGAGCTCCTGACAGCAGTACCAGTCAGCTGATCTGCAAGAGGAACCGGAAGGCCTCTCACACACGCTGCGGAGACCCACCAACGACCCCAGCTGGCGATGACCGAGTACTGCAGCCTGGCTCAGCTTGAACCCACAAAAACCCTGACTGGTGGTGGTACTCGGGCTCAAAAACGCTTGAGTTATGTGGATAGTTTAGACTATAATCCGGATAAAAGAGAGTGTGTTTAGCTAGGCCACATTCTGAAACAAAACACCAATATTGTTTGACACTTATGTAACAGCAAATAAAATCAACGTAAGTTTATTTTGATGAGAAAATATATTCTTGTTTTAATGGATTTTCAACAAATTTTCTTAATTATAAGCCCCAAATCTCAGACTTGATCCTGGGTCAACATTCCAAACTCATTATTACCCTATTAGACAAGAAGGCAGACAATATCGGATGCCAAGTCAGCAGCATTTGAGCCTTTAGAGTAACTAAATTTAGGAAAGCTGGGTCAGGTTTCCTGACTTTGGGTGTCTCCTGTACAGAATACCGAGGAAAACGCCCCCCAAAGGGACATGTTTATAGTTCAGTGGGTCTGGGGTTCATTGTTTTGGGACACAATGCTTGGTCTGCCTGGAGCCAACCCTCAACATCAAACGACAGGGTTGAGTTTGCCCATAGCTGGCTAGAGGCCAGTCTCCCTGGATGTTATCAGGGGACACACACACCACAATCAGCCAGTCTGCAGAAGGCCAGCTACTGCTTAGTTTCAGCTGCATGATCTCTGGAGGTTCAGAAACAGAGACAAGTGATAAAGTATAGAAGCATAAAACTCCTACTGTAACAAGTGTGTTGCTCTCCCCTTGCCCTTGTTCAGCTTCTTTAGAAAATGCTAATAATAAAAACCATGTTAACAGTACACAATGAAAGGCCACACAAGTGTGTCGTAGAACTACACACGTGAAGGATGAAGGTATCTCTCTAAATGCTTTGTGTACTGTACATTCCACATCACCTGTTTCGGCTTGGTCCAAAGTAACTAATGCTTACAGGTGTGCTTGTACCCATGTAGCCTTTTAACATGCACACACCAAACTCAGAGCATTTACATAAGCAGCTTTTCTAGTGTCATTCATGGGAACTACCTGATGATTTGGTTTCCCCAGAAACAATGCACTTCAAAAGTATTCCAGTCATTTTAGAGTTCTGTAACAATGCTAAATAATTTTTGTGCAATCTATCTTTGCAAGAAGGGAAATGAGGGTGAAATGTGCATCATTTTTTAGGCGTTGTTATTGTTTAGCCGTTATGGTATCGCGCTGTATCTCTCCACCTCTTTGATACTATTGTTATACATGACATGTCCTGGGAAAGCCCAGTGAAAAAGACTATTCCCATTTCATGGCATATCACAGAAATACGGAGCCATTTTTCCAGTTTATTTTTGGGTGCATTAACATTTCTCAAGTATCTATTAGTCTTTATAAGACTACCGTGGGTCCTCTTGGTGCTATGTGAGACCTAAGGCTGTGGTGTTTATGAAAAAAGGAGTATCAGGGTATTTATTAATCTGATATTGCTGCTTTAAGTCTTCTAAAGATGTACCTGTTGAATATTTGCTATATTCCTGCAGTCAGCTGCTTTATATTTCCCTGCTTAACATTCAGGTCAGTGTGAGGAGAAGTTTGTTTGGAGTTCTCTTTTTACTTAGCAACATTCTTTGGCAAAAAAAGAGGGGAAACCACTCGGGAGAGACTTAACAAGTGCCTGTTGCATACGACTAAAGTATGGTGTTTTTAAACAACTATTCATGTCCACCAAAATGGTAAATTTATGACTTTTCATTGTCATTATGCAAGCATAACAGACAACACTCACTCACATGGTGCAAAAGAAGAAGAAGAAAAGGCTTAAATACCATAAATGTACTGACATAATATAAATGCAATATTTAAACTCATTTACTGACAGGTATTTAAAAGCTGTCAGCTATATAAGACTGGGAGTTAATATTGCACAGCCTCACTGAAGATGAGTTATTTATATGCTATGTGTATATACATATATGTATATATGTGGGTTGTAATTGTGTGGAGCTGAGCACTAGAAAAGTGTATTTTACATTAGTCATTTTACATATTGTAAAATGCACATGGCCTGTTATGGAAAATTAATAGATAATGTGTATATTCTCTTAACAAATTCAAATTGTTTGTGAATATTCATTAAACAAATACCCATAACAACTTCTTCTGTTTGAAAAATGAAGGGAATCAATATTGTTGGCTGTATGTAATTGTCTGACCTTTTGATTCTTGGAACATGTTGTTTATTCCTTTTTTTGCCTGCCTTGGTCACTCAGGGGTGATTCAGGGTCTTTCTATATCGGTCCATTGATGTAATCTGTTTGCAATGTTTGCAAATAAGAATTCCTGCTGCACAATGCAGCCACTGGAGTATTTGCCCTCACAGTGGGTGGTACACATGTCTCCCTGTCGCATACCCAACGGCAGCGATGGCTATTATGATCCAAACAATGGAAATCAAACATTGTGTGTTACTGGAAGCCACTTTAGATGCTATGTGTGATTAGCCTTATATATACATAACTCGTGTAGTGTTAGAGAGAACAGGCACAAAACACGGAACAACTTTTTTGTGTCGCAGTACATCGCCTCCGCAGCCTTTACAATGGACTCCACGAAATAGGTTTATTAGTGAAACAGGCACTGCTATTGTTTATTTTTTCCCCGAGGAGCACTCAACTCTCATCTAACACGCTGAGGAATTTTATAGATATGTGGAAGAAAAAAATCCCAACAACAACAAGACATCATGAGCTGCTGGGAAATAAGAAAAATATGATGTGGGTCAGTCAGAGTGCTGGGGATTTAAGGGATAATGCTTTGTAATTGGTAAACAGGGTTTTTATACAAGAACAGTAGTCCTAGGTCACAAATTCCTGGATCCTAAACTTCACAGCAGGTATGGAGAACTTGTGTCTGTATGTCACTCTGTAAAAATGAAGTGAAAATTAAACTATGAGGGTCACAGACTGAAGAGATGCTGCAGAAAATGGGCTTTTACTGTAGAAGACAGACATTAGTGGATTGCACTTGAAAATTATTTTCCTATACTTGTTTTTATTTTTTCTGAACATAGTTAAAATAAATTGTATTTTTATAACCTATTTGTATTATTTTAGAAATGGCAAACATAATCCCAAAGCCTTAAAATGCTGATACTGTGCAGTAAAACACTTTATATTTTAATGATAAAGGGGTATTTTCTCCTATGCTTAATGTAAGGACAGAGTCCAAACAGCCCCAGAAAAAAGATTTCCCCTTCAGCTAACAGTTGCCGAGCTTTTCTTTGCACCCTCCCCCTTCAGCTCTGAGGAGGGAGACATGCAAATTTATCTCCTGGAGGGGGTAAAAACTGCCTCATAACAAGCGTTTTCAGAGTCAGGCACAACTTCACAAAGTCACAACAACAAAGGCAAAAGGAAGGGAAAGTATAGTCTGAGCTTGAACTTTAGGACAAAATGCATGTTTCCATCTAGCCATTGCGTCTAGGGCTTCTGTCTGCGAGTGGTGACTGAGACTAGAGAAAATAAGGAGGACTGTGCCACCTTTGTTGGACAATATTTTGTCCTTATCACTGAACCATGGGGGATCCAGTGAAGACATAACACAGGTAATTTTGGGGAAATTACCTATTTACCACGGAGCATAGGTTTTATAGCTATTCTGTTATAAATATAGTCTAAGATCAACAAAGTTGTGGGGTTCATTGTTTTGTTTTTGTTTTTCCAGTTGGTTAGAATGTCTTCAAATTGTGTGCACAAAATATTGCAGCATAGAAAAAAAAATAATCTTTTTTTAACTGTTATTATTGTGGCTGTTGCAGGTCAGTAATGATTTTTTAAATTATGTTAATAAATGCTCCACATCTTCCTATGCGAGCTCTAATATTGCGTTGCGTGAGGGTTTGACAGCTCCGAGCAAGTGTTTGTCAAGTTCACCATACTTCAGTTGAGCCAAACCGGAAAATGGTAATAAAAGCTGTAATTCTTGCTTAATTTCACTCTGACGGTTTTTCCGTTACTCAAAACGAATATGTCGGTTAATGTGGGTTTTATTTTGACATTTTAAACCGGATGTGCCATCATTAATATGACGCTCATGTCTGTGGGTCGGTCTTGCCGTTCGCCCTCCGCTGCTGTCGTCTGCTCGGTTGTAACAAATGGTCCGCTATAGGTGCCATCGAGAAAACGTCGAACGACAATAACTTGAACTACTCCATGGCAAATATCGTTTTCTCTTCTAGTCTCCCCACCACTCTTTAAAAATTCCGCCTAAAAAGAAAAAGCGTTCTGTCCCCTCTTTTGGGTTTTCAGCGGACGTAAGTAACGTTAGCTAACCGCGCTGTTAGCTTCCTATGAGTGTTAGCATGTTATTAGCCAAATGCTCTGAGTAACGTGGCATTGTCTAGCTAAATACTAAAGAAAACACACTAGCTATAACGCTGTTGTCAGTAGCATTCTTAAAAAAATGTTTTTATAAAACATGTTGGTACTAGGACTACATCGTATATTACTGTATAAGGAATACATCGTATATTACTGTGTAACTACCGGGGACACTAATGCTAATGTGTTCCATGAATTTAAAGCAAGCTGTTACAGTAACAAGGAATTTGACTCTGAAGTAATTGGTAATGAATGTTAAGTTGTAGTTAAACGTGGTTATAAGGGGTAGCATGATAAATAACACGGGGCAAGAGTGTTGTTGTAGCCATTGCTAATCAATTTATTCAAACCTGCTAATCTGGCCATCATTGCATCAGTTCCGGTGGTTGGTTCAGAGTAACTCAGACTAACAATTCACACATTAAAAACCACCTTAGTATTTACATGCAGTACTTCATATGTGTTTTTTGTTTTCTGTATCAGTGCTTTATGCGGGTATTCGTTAACTCGAGTTTACAATTCGTCTTTGTCAAATGGCGAAAAATATGGATATCAGGGATTGACTTTCTATTCTGGATTATCGTGCTAATGTGTGTAGTCATAACCCAAAGATCCATTTGGAGCCAGGAAAAACCCCAGTTTCCTCTACAGATTTACAGATTTGATTGTACTTTGGAGTACCACTGGAACATGTGTTAGCAGGGGAAACAATTGACTGATCATTGACTGAATCTACTGTGCCTCACGTCCTCATCTGCCCCTTTGCAGGTGTACAACAACTACCCAGAGGATCTAGGGGCAGCTCTATACCGAGAGCCATTTGACTTCAACGCCGAGCCACCTTGGGATCCTAGCTGATAGTGGAGGAGTTCATCCCAGGACTCATCCATGTGAGTAAACTAGCTGCGGAATTTATGTATCCACTTTAATTGGAGGGCTGAGAAAAATCTCATAGCAAAAACGTTGAATGTGTGGTAGAGTATTTGTGTTTGCATGGTGAAGAATTATTGCAGTTCTACGGTAACTGTCATGTCCTGACAAAAGGAGTAAACATTCAGCATGTCCCAGATCACTCAGTTATTTTAGATCTACTGTTTCAGATCTATTTTCAGCACTTGTATTAAAATAACAGGACACTGTTCAGGACTGCTTTTATCTGCAGTGGCTTTGCTGTTAGATTTGTTTTCAGGAACAGAGAGAAATAATCTGAGCTATAACCCAACTAATATGCATGTATTTTCCTTGAGATTAAAGCTGGGTTGCATTGTATATTGTATGTTTTGTGAAGATAGAACAAGTGACCCAGTTAAGCATTTTCTAAGTTACATAAGGTCTTGGTTTATTTTCAAAGAGATATTAGTGTTTAGCCTTGTTCCATTGTGTTTTTAACCAGTGTTTGAGCAGTGATTCTATTTAAATTTTTTAAATGTATTTATTTTTTATTGTACACCACATCAGTCATTGTTGGCATATTGCTAGTCTCCCCATGTAACCTTTCTACATCTGGTCTGGTCCAAACTACCATGACTGGCTGAAGTACTGTGCAACAGTACTGAAAGTAAAGTTGTGGCACAGATGCCGCCAGTATTGTACCTTTGTTAATGCCATCAAACGGAACATTTTCGGGTCACCGGCTCAGGGATTAATGGCGATTGTAAGGGGTAATTGATGATAAAGTAAATGAACCCTGTGCCCCAGACTATGTGTTTTCACAGCGGGTTTTAGGAAGAATAGGCCTCTTCCACAAAGCTATCCCATAACGCAGAACCTGTTCTCTGCTCTGATTGGATGCCCGTTGAGTTGAAAATGACTTCAGTTCAGGATTTCAAAAGAGGCGTTTAGGTTTCAGCAGCAGACAACATCATGGAATATGCATTATCCAAAAGTGAGTTTTGGTGCTGAACTTGGTGCTTTATGATGGGTTTTCTCTTTTCCTTGTACAGTTTGTTGCATAAGTCTAGGACCCCAGGGGCTCGAGAGGGAGCGAGCAAGACCACTTCGCACTAGCCACATTCTTTATGCCTGTTGGATTTGAAGAAAACGGTTGAGAGGATGAAAGGAATCGCTGATGAACCGCAGTATTCTGTTGGCCTGCTGGAAGGAGGCATGGCCCTCTGTGATGTTATTGACAATCACATTTATGAGCAAACACTGGTATGGGCTTCATCTTTAATAACATGTACTATTTCTTAATGTTTTAATATTGTCTCAAAACCAACAATTGTATTATAATGCATTGTTAACTAAAGGTTGTTAATTGACATACAGGCACACTTTTATTTATGCTTGTATTGTAGATTAATGGATATACAATCTTAATGTGTTTTCTGACTCTTCCACGCCTGTTTGTTTCCCTCTTCTCCAGTCTGAGAAAAATGCATTCTTTGTAGCAGATCTGGGAGTCATAATGAGGCAGCATGTTCGCTGGCGGACCCACATGTCCCAGATCAGACCATACTATGCTGTCAGGTGCAATAGCAGCCCAGCTGTGATTGAAGTCCTTGCTGCCCTTGGCACTGGGTTCATATGCACCAACAAGGTACTCTTTGAGTATACAGTGTGTGTTTTTGTCATTAGGGCTTTTCCCTGCTAAATATAAAAGCACATTTAGCACTAGTGTTGATCATCAAGCTGACCCGTGTTTCATAAGGCCCTGAGGCCCTGGTACGAATTCACCCCAAGGCTATTTACTGTGTGTCTTTCCAAGATCTTTAAATATTTTTAAAAGCACCACCAAGTGGTCACCACATGTCAATGCCCACCTTGTAAACATTATTTAATAAATATTTGTCTCTAATGCATCTGCCTGATGGGCATGGCAAGATAGATACAGGAGATCTGTTACACTTATTTCAAATTCTATTTTCTTTCTCCTAGAGCAGCTTTGGCTGATTCAAAGTTGAAAATAATCCTTATTTATCTTATATTTGGCTTTGGTGCGGCCCCTCTGTTAAGCCGCCGTCTGGCAATGGATTGACAAAGGATTGGCTCCCTACCCTTTACAAATGGAAGGTTGGGACAGCAGGTGGATTAGATTTCTATGCTTACAGCCAGAGCAATGATCCTGAAATGATAATTTAAAGGATATCCTATGAAGAGTAGAAAACAACTGCTTAGAGACTGACCTTCTAGCTCACAGTTCTTTGTACATATACTGAACGTTTCAAACTAAGTATAATATAAGCAAAAGATGACAAAAAAGCATAATAGGTTCCCTTTAATGGAATATTGCTTTGTCTGTGTATCTTTGTAATTCAGTCTGAACTGGAATTGGTGCAGAGCCATGGTATTCCCTCCGAAGATATCATCTACAGTGGTGTTTGCAAACAAGTTTCCCAGATTAAATATGCTGCTAAAAATGGCATTGACCTCCTGGTGTGTGATAATGAAGCAGAGCTGCGCAAGATTTCTCGCTGCCACCCCAATGCCAAGTAAGTTTTTGATAAGCATCAGTCCAAGTGCCTGTGAATATGTTAAACAACTGACCATGTTATCAGTCCATAGTAATTATCTGTTGGTTACACTATCTACCGTCATTCTGATAAGAAATCAACCTGCAAAACTGTTTGGTTCTGTGTAGTTTACTGCTCTGGTTTTATATCATAGATTAATCTGGATCAATTGTTTCCCCAAAACAGTAACCAAGTTATCTATTTCCTCTGTGATAATTTAGGCTGCTGCTACAGGTGTCAACGGAAGCGTCAAACCCGGACGATGACATGAGCATGACATTTGGCTGCTCACTCAAGGACTGCAGACATCTGCTGGAGAGTGCTAAGGAGCTGGGTGTGCAGGTAGCTGGGGTCAGGTAAGGACTACAGGAAGGAAATAAAGAGAAATGCAAATCCAGGTTTTGTACTTAGACCACTGCAAGGATGGCACAGTTCTCCTGAACAAATTATTTAGTCAGTTTGTCTGCAAATGAAATTTAAACGTTAAGTTACCAGTTTGATCACCGACTACCTCTTTTACTCCTCAGGTCTCACATTTCCAGCTCCTGTGACGATGACCAAGTGTATGTTCATGCCATCTCCGATGCCCGTTGTGTCTTTGATATGGGGGTATGTGGTGTTAAATGATGCATTTTATTTGCAGTCAGCTCTATGACTGTTATTTGCATTTCTGTTGAATACAATTTTATGTTTTGGATGCTCCATAAACACAAGGTACTTTGTATAGACCCAAGTTATTAACAATTTTCTGTCTGCTTCAGGAGGAAATTGGCTTCAGCATGAAAATCTTGGACATTGGAGGCGGATTCAGCGGCTCTGAGGCCCAACTGGAACTGGTCAGTGCATTTCTATCTGATACTGTTAAAGACAAGCTTTGTACATTGTAGCTGTAGTAAGCACTAGCTGAACAGTAAGATAAAAGTGTCTGTCTTAAATGTTGAGAATATTCTAATATAGATTCATGCTTTAGCTGCTCACTGTAAAGCTGGATTTAAACTACTTTTCAGAGGCATGTGGAGGGAAAAAGGAAGGAATATCTTAATGTTAATTTTAACGGCTTCTGTCATCTCTTTTGCAGATTAATAGTGCAGTCATGTCTATGGTGGACCTATACTTCCCTCCATCTTCAGGAGTTTCCATCATTGCTGAGCCTGGTAACTTCTTTGTGTCCTCTGCTTTCACACTGGCTGTCAATGTCATCTCCAAGGAGGTGGTGGCACGTGATCCCCAGGACCAGGATCATGGTTAGTGGCAAGATACTCACTTAGGAACGCTAATGATTGTTAAGGACATACTCTGTAAAAACTGCATTCCAGCAGTAACTCGAGCAGTACACAATGCATTTTCATGCAGAAACCAGTGTTGTACAGCATGAAATGTATTATTATACTGGGAATTAGCAGTGCAGCTATGAATCAAACAGTAAAATGAAATTCAGAAACTTTTCTGCCCTCTTCTGAACAGATCTGTCTCCCAATGAAGAGCCAGCGTTCCATTACACTATGAACGAAGGAGTGTATGGATCGTTTGCCAGCAAACTCTCTGAAAGACTGATATCTGCCCCATCTGTTCACAAGGTGAGTCTCAAAGATTCTCAATGAGTCAGTATACACTTACTGGACACTTTAATAGGTACACTTTGGCAGTACCAGGTTGGACTACTTTTATCTACAAAACTGTTGCATAGATTTAACAAGGTGCTTGAAACATCTGCAAGACTTTTTGGGCCATACTGACAAGATCGCAGCAAGCAGTTTCTGTAGATCTGTTGGCTGCAAATTCATAATGCAAATCTGTTCCACCACAAAGGTCCTCTGTTGGATGGATAGATAGCGAGACGGACGCATCCATCCAGCCAGCCAACAAAGGACCTTTACCTAACAAAGGGCCAGTTGAATGTGTAACCACAACACAATACTTTCTCTATACTTCTCAATGTGTATACGCACTTTATTATTAAATTAGGAACAACACCTTAATCAGCTACTGCCCACACATATCCACACTGTAGAATGACTAAAATAATCACCTTTATTGCCTTATTAGCAGAACACTTCCCTGGATGTACCGGTGTTCAGCAGCAGCTTGTGGGGTCCCTCTGGAGATGATCTGGACCAGGTACTGGAGCACTGTCTTTTACCTGAGCTCAACATTGGAGATTGGCTCATGTTCACACATGCTGGCTCCTACAGTCTGGGTCAACCACTGTGCTCCTCCACTGACTCACCACCACCCCCTGTGTACTACGTCATCTCCTCTAGAGACTGGTAAGTTTGGCAGTGATGGAGAAAATCTTTCCTGTGCAAGAATGTGGAGGTTATGGTCCTTGATTCCTGTTTATTTTCATTAACCAGGTTTGAGATGCAGGACACTGGTGTTACCAACGAGGCTACGCTTAAGAACTTCTCCCTGGTCCCATACTTCCTCAATTCCTGCCAAACAGAGGCTGCACTGTCAGTCCCAGCTTAGGAAACATCTGACTGGGACCAGAAGTCTTTTCACTTTTCTCACTTGTTTCTGCTGCTAGCTTCCTTTGGTTCACATTCCCCTGGGGTCAACTCTCCCAGTAGTGCTTGAAATTGCCTGGACCAGACCATATTCATCTCACAGACCCCAGTGCACAGCACTTCTATGTGGTCAGCCCTGGAAACCCTAAGTAGGTGTTAATTAGTATGCAACAAAATGGATGAGTCCAGAAAAGACAGTTTGGGGACTCCTCTTGAACTACAGTTTACACCCCTACAGTAGACATATAATACTTTTAAATGATTATATTTGACAGATATTATTATTCATATCTCCTTTGCTGTTGTCAGTCTTGTATATTATGTGTATCCCTGATTGAAGCAGTGTATTTATAAAAAGAAACACTTCTGAGATTATATAGAAAGTTTTGCCAAAAGATTTGTATTTCTGATTTTAATTTGTTGTGTAGTTTTTTTGTGTGTGCACAAAGGCTAGAATCCATTATTACATTTAAAAAGTGTCATCTTCATATTAAATTGAGAGCTTGCAGCATATCTTTGCTGTACATACAAAATGTTTGGCGTCACCGTGGCGTCAGTTTCTGAAAATTATTTGAAAGCTAAAAGGTCAGTGTCCTTAAATAAGGTGGTGTTTGCGTGCTTTTCCAAAGTGCCGAGCGTCTTGCTTCCAAGACTGGCAGGTGAGTGCTCTGCTACCTGACAGCCAAGCAGGTTTTATTAGACAGCATGTGCTGCAGATGGAACACAGGAAGTGCTGGTGGATAATGAATCGACTTACACTGAAAATAACATTGTTTCTTTACAAAAAATGATTTAAAAGACTACTGCAAGTTCTATTTCTACTCATATAGTTTGAAATATTCTTCCAACATCTGTGTTGATAGAATATTGCAGTATTTCCTGACACCAAGTATACTTGCATTGTGTGTATCATATCTGTGAAACTGTCATAAATCTGTTTTAAGGCATGATAAATTATCAGGCATTTGCCTGCTTTTAACGTGTAGCTGTGCTTGTCTAAATGAAGAGTAATAAACACCCCACTGACTGGACTGTAAATCCCAGTGTGTGTCTTATCAGAAATGCACAAATGTTGTAAATTGTAACTTCCTCCGGCTGTATGCATAGATAGAATTGGTACCCCTCTGTTAGTTTCACAGCCTGATAATTTTATACAGTTATCATGTGATGAGCTGAAGGGGGATACATTTTCAGGTATCAGAATCATGTGGGAACCACAGAAAAGATTTTAAATTACAACTCTTTAAAAAAAAAAAAAATCTAGACAAATATGTTTAGGTTTATTAAGGAATTCTGTGTTTTGTGCAAGAAAAAGTGCAAAAATATTTTAAACTGATTGTCATGGCACAAATGAACAACATTTAACATTTTTTTGGTCAAATATCACTGACAAAAAAGTAAACTTAGTAACATTTAAATACGTAACTACTCAGCTTATGCTAATGCAGTAGTTAAATGTAAACACTTACATTACCTCGTTTATATTCAATTAGAATGATTACAGAACAGCAGTATAGCAAAGTTTAACAGTGTTGCACAATAGCCCTTTCATAAGGTGACGTAAAAAAAACATCTACAGTGTTGTGCGAGTCAGTCTCAACAGCGTAACGCATGTCATTTGGTTTCACAGTGGGGTTTGTTTGTTATTGTTGCTGAAGAAGATACTGCATGCAGGGAGTTCAGCAGCGTCCCCTCATCGCTGCTAGATGCCTTCGGGCGTGCTTGGCAAGGTGGTCGCTACGCATGAAGCGGCTGAGGCACATTGGGCAGGCAAACTTTTTTTCTCCCGTGTGGGTTCGGCGATGCCGGGACAGCTCATCGGAGCGAGCAAAACGCCTCTCGCAGCCCTCCCACTTGCATTTATAAGGTTTCTCACCTGTTGGATAGTGGAGGCAAGAATAAGGACTTTTCTAAACATACTCCAACGGGTAAAACATTTGCTATCATGACTAGAAGATCACACTTGTGCCATAGCATTCAAATACATATGCGTTATATTAACATTTAATTCATTTATCTCTTACCTGTGTGCGTCCTCATGTGGGCCTTGAGATGAGAGCTCTTGAAGTAAGTCTTGTTGCAGTTCTCACGGGGGCAAACATGATTGCGTGCGCGGGTCACCTCTGGCTGCTGTGGGACACGTCTTTGCTCCGATAAGGTGCGATGAGGCGCCGGGGCAATGGCAGCGAACTTTGGTCCACCATTGGTCACCGGCGCTGGTTGAATGTAGACAGGAGGAACAGGCGGCTGAGGGACAAGGACCATGACGGGACCCCTTGCCACCTGACCCCCTACAAGGAAGACCTGAGCAGAAGAAGCCGTTTGTCCTTCTTGTTTGTGCTGCAGCTGCAGTGACGTGTGCACCATGGTGATTGCTGGCAGTAGGTGTTGCTGCTGACTGTGCGAGTTTGTGACAGCGTTCTGCACAACGGTGGCCAAAGAAGAGACAGGAACAATGTGGCAGTAGACAGGCACAGGCGAGACCAGAGCATCTCCAGCTGGGACAGACTGAGGTGTATTTTTATTTTCATCTAAGCCTAAAAGGCTTCCTGGGTTCTCTTTGGACTGAACAACATTTGGGGACGTCTCAGTGTAAGCTTGTGTTGTAACAGTCTCCTCAGAGTCTCTGCTATTCGGCTCATCTTTACAGTTCACATCAGTTTTAGAGTCCAGCATGTGAACCCGAACAACCTCTTCCTCCTTTGAGGAACGATTAAGGTTGGAGGAGCAGTGGAGGCCATCTGTAGTGTGACGGATCACACTGGTGCACTGGAAGCTCTGCTGAGCAGCGTGTTTGTGCAGAGACATCGCTTCTGTAGGTCGGTGAGGCTTCAGAGCTGGACCTGGACAGGCCGTCACAAAGTGGGGCGGGCTGCATGGTGGTGTCATGCACTGAGAAGAAAAGTCACATTATCAAAGTCCGTAATAAAGTTTCTCTTCTGTCCTAATACATCTACATTTACTAGAATCACGCAGTTACATAGAAACCATTTCATCCTAAACAATGATCCCTTACAAACAGAGAGTCCTGCAGCACAGCAGAACTGGTGGTGACCTGGTCGTCCTCTGAGGAGTCTGAGGAGGGAGACAGAGGTCTGTAGTGCCTCACCCTGAAGTTTCGTGACTTCCAGTGCTTAGTCATGGACATCAGAGCCCGCACAGCTTCCATATCACCTGCACCCATGTCAGTTGGCTGGGATTCACCCTGGACGTCTGAGATGTTACAGTGATGCTCCTCAGACTTCATAGTGCAACTCTGGCAAAGACCAAATTAACTGTCATTTAAATTCATAACATTTCACGCAACGTAATCCAACAATGATAGCCTTCACTAAAAATAAATGAATACATCACCTACGATCAAATTTACACTATGACCATTATCTCAGGGCCTTAAAGATTTTGCCATATGTCGCCATTTACAGAATACGTGAAACAGCATGAGAGATAAGCATGATCAGCTGCTGCTCATCAGCGCGGTTGCCCTTTCACCTACTTTGCTGGGGGACAAAAGCAGCATGTGTGGTGGCTACAAAACAGAAACACAACACCTACTGTAAGAACTCCTCCCTGCCCAGGCCCGGATCACCACACACAAGCTGCACCCACAATCATACTCCTCAATAACTATTGATGAAGCCCACCAGACTGTCTGACCGATTAGCTGCTGACAACCATTTTATCAGCGTGTTTCTACACGAACATTAAACACGTAAGAAGAAAATAAAACACTATGCTAAACCGTAAATATGACAAAGCTAACATTTACTTACATATATGTATGAGTGCGTGAAGTGTTCAGGAAACAGGTTTAATCCCTAGGTGCGCGTCCACAAGTCTCGTGCGAACAACTTAAGACCAGGCAAATATGTTTCCTAATTTCCTCCACAGCCTCGTTTCCGTTCATCGTTTCAAATGCGGTGGGGGAACAGATGGGCGTGGCCCGAGGCCGCGCCCAATGGGACGCAAAGGTGTGTTTTAGGGTAGACCAATGGTGCGGGGGCACCGTGCGTGATCAGGGGCTGAAGGCACCGTGGAGACTGCGTGGTACACAACAGCAAGGGAGTGTGAGAAAACCCCCCATCCCCCAACCCACACACCCACCTTGCAAATAACTGGCGTTTTTAATGAGTAACTTTGCCCTGACGAGCAGACGCTCACCATCTGTCTTGACTAATCATCACTATGACACTTGGAGTGAAGACAGTGAGAAAAGATGCTCATTATGAGAGAGCAACAGGTAGGTAATTAATATAGCACTTGTTACTATTTAACAATCTTCAGATAAATCTATCTAAATGAAGCTACTGTTTAATTAAAGTAGAGAGGCAGGGCCATAGATAAAGGGGGAACCTGTGGTGGAAATATTTCCTAATATTATATCTTCTTAATTCATCCATTAGTGGAAATTATGTGGACAAGTGCTTCAGACCCCCCCACCCCCTTTTTGTATAATACCCCCCCCCCCCTTCACTGCAATTAACTAATCCTCCTTTACTTTTCAAAAGTGAAATAACACCAAATAATTTCTACTATTATTCATTACCATTAATCTCATTCAGAGTTGCAACCAGACTACATTTTGTTAGTGCCAATGTTTTGTTTGTAAATCTCGTCCCCCACTTTGTTGCAAGGCAGCTGTGTTTTAATCATTTCACCTGACAGGAAGAAGGTTCAGATAATTTGGTGCTTAAAGCAACAACAATACATTTCACATATTTAAAGATACTAAATACTACCAGTGAATGATGTGAATAGGCTGCATCTCTTGAGTAATTTTTTGTTTTTTATTTCTTCTCAAACTCTCCCCCAATATAGATATATATTAATGTGACTGGTGTTTAAATTAGTAGACCCTTGTCTTTTGTGGAAAGAGGTCAGCCAACAGGAGATGGGTTCAGCCACCCCTCTGGATTAGGTAAGTGTCAGCTGTCTAGACCTTCCTGCACAGCACAGAGAACCGGGACAAAAGGCTGGTTGTAGACACACAATGGGGAAATACACACACAGACACACAGCCCATTTGACTGTGTCTGGCATTGTTGGGATGTTCCTCAAAAGCATATTTGCTGGAACAGAATAAAAGTGTGACCATGCAATGCATAAAGATTTCATTTGTAACTTTATCAAGCTCCCTGAAACTTGCATTCAGTGTCTCAGAACTAATAAAAAATATGAATTAAGTATTTTCTGATCAGTAATCCAACTTATAGTGCATTGCAACTGGCCAGTCCACAGCTCATAAACCTACATGAATCATGTTTGCATGTTGAGTTTATTGCAAACAATTTAAAGATGAAAGATAGGAGGAAAAATAATGAAGACTCCTGTTGTACACAGGGGTCTTCATTATATTAGAAATGTATGATAAATGTGGTACTCTCTTAGGTGGGTGTACTTTGTGATTGACAAGCAGCTGCTGCATGAGCATGCAGTTTAATTCCACCTCATCCTTGGTTTGCAAAACAGCTCAGCTTAAGTGAGAGGTTATGGCATAAAAGAGGATCCTGTGGCATTTGACCAATCATAGAATAGCTCTTGTGTATACATGTGTATACAGTTGTGCAATGTGTTACGACCAGTGCTTCATTCATGTTATGACCTGACCCCTAGATGGCAAGTAACAAATGGATAACTGGAGCTTGTTAGCAGGGGTGATTTCCACTTCGACTAGATTACCAAGGACTTGGGGTTCTCTTTAGCTGTTTCAGAAATGGATGTGTTGCTATGTCCAGAAAGAGACTACTCACTACATCTCTTTATTCACCAGCCATATACAATACATATCCTTGTAAGCTGTGCAGAAATCTATGATTTGATGTAGGTTGTGCACACAGTTTGTGCAAAGTCCTTCACCGCTCAGCACCCTTCTTGAAATCTTCAATGGGCAGTTATTCTGAACCATTATAAAGTACTTTAATAGTCGCCGGTCAAATCAGGTGAAAACCGCTTAAAATAGTTTGAAGACTGCGCCCCAAATAAAGCACCATCTTATCTCTGCTGGTGTGGAATTTTCCTCATAGATTACATTTCAGGATTGGCTGAATGCTCTTTCTCTCTTTTTATATAATTTTTTTTGGTTTGTGCGGGCGAGTGCCTGTTAAGAGGTAGAGCTACATTCTGTCCTTCCCTAGTCCTGCAAAGATATGCTTCTGCCAGCACTAAGAGAAGTTATTTTAAACTCATACTCTTCAGCTATTGGTCATGTTACCCCAGTCAGTAAAACATGGGCTGAAGTGATTGTGGGCTGACTGACAGCAGCTTGTTGGGTTCACTGATGAAAACAGTCTAGTTTTAAGGTGTAACAACTGGAAAACCTCTGATTATACCGAGTAGGATATCTTGTCTCTGGTGTCTCTGTGTGCAATAAAACTTTATTCATTGAGTTAAATTTGCAGCCTAAAATGTGCACACTTTCTAAATCCTCAAACCTGCTAACCTTTCTCTGATGATAATGCAGTTTTCTGGCCCTGACTCTTTGTACCCATTTTAAGAACTCCAGGGGTCATTTAATAACCCAGTACCCTCCTACCTAAAAATAGCTCTGGTTTGTTTGTCTACACCCTTAAAAAAAGGTACAGGGTGTTTTTTTGGAGCAATGGCCTTGGTTTCTATAACCTCTGTGTTGAATTCAGTAAACACAGATAAAAGTTACGCTCTTCTCTCATCTGGTTGGTTGATGTGGTGCATACAAACTTGAAGAAGAACGTATGATTGAATAATCTAGTGAAAATTTGCTCACTTACATATGCACTATTTCCCCTTATTTTAATAACATGGTTTAAATGTTTGCAAAATCAACAGTCATTCTTCACAGACGCTCGTCTAACACATAGGCCAGTGTAAGACTTGTGTGACTCGCGTCTTTTTCTTTATGTTACAACTGACATTTTATGAAACATTTGCTCGATCGAGCTGCAGATGAGGTGGACTGCAGGCCAGGGCAGGACAACATCCATGTGGGTCATTTTGAGTCAAATGGTTGCATTTCTCTTTGCTAGAGCTGAGTGGAAACTTGTGCTGTACTTTGCAGATAAAAGAGGAACCTGACTTGGGGCAGAAGTGCAAACTCTTATTTTCAGTTCCAGCTTTGAAGGGCGACTCTCCATGAGCTTATCAGAATGCATAAATATCCTGAAAAAACTCTGCAGCATTTTTGTGTTGGCAAATAATCAGAAGAGCAGCGCAGGAAGGACAGCTGTCATTACTACAACTGTCTCACATTATTATCAAAGGTAAACCATGCCACCTACTGGTGAGATAAACTGCAGCTTTTGGGGGATTGTACCAAAATAACCAAAATATGAGTTGGAAATCATTGTTTTGCATAGGCTGTTTTCATTTATTTATTTGTCTCTTAACAATGCAATTTTTGGGAGGGGACAGGAAACACAAAATCTATATTTCAGGAAATTGGAAAATTCTAATCTTATCATTTGCACCATGCACTGAGCAGAGGTTCATTCACCCCTCCTCTCCCAAATGGCCATCTCTTGACTATAGCTCCTTTGCTCACATCCAGGACATGCATGGGTCAAGAATTAAGCTCTGCTTAAACTAGAGTTTCCTTTTGACAATGTTACATAATGGTAACCTTGTGCTTAAATTAGAGTCTTCTACTTTTTCTTTCTTTCAAACAACAGAAAATTATTTCCTTAACTCAACAGAGCTTAAATAGACTGGGAATACCGCACTAACACAGTTTTCTATGTGAGGGAGATCAGCTGTGCACAGACTCCCAGTGGTCTTCCATTTATAGAGCTCAGGTTTTAGGCGGTTCAGTTTGAAATATAAACCAGTGTAAGAATAGCAGCAATGATCTGAGGGTCATGATTTTTTGTTTCACTTTTTTTTAACATCTGTTTCATCTCTGCTGCCACAAGGACAGATACGAGTATTGTGGCATGAGGAGAAGAAAAGTGGAGTTCCTGCTTTATACACTCAAAAATAAAATATGCCCAAAATGCTGACTTTAATTTGATATAATGTAAATCTTACAAGAAATTTTGTTACATAAGAGCAATGTACAAATGATAATAGTACAATGACATTTACTTGATTGGTGTACATTCAGTTTATACCGAGCGTATTTTTCTTAATTATTAGATTTTTTTTTTAAATAAACATTTGATTTTATATATTTCAGTTGCATTTTAATCAACATTATTGCTATTAATGGATACATTTTTAATGTATATTTACTTTTACTTTAATATATAACAGACATTCCCCTGTAGTGAGATGGGTATTCTTATTAATTTTACTTAGATACTACTTAAATAAATACATATTAACTTATTTACTTACATTTGTCAGTTAATGAGCTCTTCATGTTTATTTTTAATTGAGTTCTTTCTTTTTTAAATTTAGGAGCTGTCTTGTTTTATGATCTTGCCCAGAATTAGGGATGAATAAAGTACATCTGATCTTTTATTACAAATAATGTTCATTATATGCCAAAATAATGGATTAATAGTAATTGTTTGTTGTTTTTTTGTTGTTGTTGTTTTGGATATTTAGGTGTTATATAGCAAAAAAACTGAAAAACCAAACACAGGATTAAATATACCTATTTCCAAATGGATTGAGAGTATAATCGGATTTTGTTTTTATCCCTGAGCAGAATTTATGAAGGTCTTAAAATGTAGTTTTGCATCTCAATAATTATTCTTATTTTTAATTTAGTCATAATTTTACTTTAGTCATAACAGATTTATACTTTGCTACTATAAATCAAAATGCGTAATCTTTTTAAGAGGCCCCAAATAACCCAACAAGAATCCCCATGTGGCCATATTGCAAGTACTTTTGAGTAATAAATAATTACTTATATAAAAAATTATAATTTTATTTTCAGATTTTGATGTTGCTCTTGCTTTATCTGCAACAAATAATATTTGGTTTACCAGCTGACGCTAAATTAACTGGACAAATCACAATTTTAAACATTTTTCAGAAACATCAGCAGTCTGCAAAATTACTCTGACAACTGTAAGGTGGTTGGATGTATTGGGAGTACAGAGCAGTAGTGGACGGTTTTGTGGAGTGGTCTGGGAGGAATCGTCTGCTTCCGAGAGATGGTGATCGAGTTTAGAAGGAAGAGGACAGCCACACAACCCAATCCTGGGACAAGACGTTGATGTGGTGCCAGGGTGCAAATATCTGGGGATCCACATAAACAACAGACTGAATTGGAAGACCAATAAAGAGGCCATATACAAAAGGGGATGTTGAGGCTCTGTTTTCTTTCAGTGTCCACAGCAAATTGTTCAAGATATTAGTCTGTACTGACAAGTGCAGTGTACTTTAGTGTGGTCGGCTGAAGGAGTAGCATCAGAGGTGGTGATACTACCTCTGATGGTAGCATCATCACTGAATAAAATGCAGACTGAATAAAATGATTAGAGAGGCTGGCTCTTTTGAAACTGTGGTGGTGAGGAGATCACTGAATAAACTATTATCAGTCTTAGGTAATCCTCGACTGCAGCACTTAACTAGACAGGAAGCAGAGGGGCTTCAAGGAGCTGATTCAGATACACACCTATTACAGAAACAGGAAATACCTCATGGTATCACTCTATATAATACAGTTTATCTGTCTAGCAGAATGACATCTGATATTATTATTATTATTTTGTTGTTTTTTCATCATATTTTCATTTGATTTAACACAAGGATGAAATTTTGCAAGTAGGGGCAAAGTATACTTGTCATTCATTTCTTTATTAATATTTTATTATTCATAAATATTGTTTTACAAAGAGGCGATCAAAGTAAATCGCAAACAACATACAAGCAAAGAATTCAATGCAGTTACTAGTTACAGACACGCACAGAGGCCTGCATAACCACACGTGTTCACAGGGAGAAAATAGCCACAGTAGAGTGAACGGTAGCAAAGAATTCAAGTTGGGTAGCTTAAACGCTAAAGCTAATAGTGCTAGCTGTGAAACATTATTATAACAACAGCAGTCCAGTCCATCGTGTTAGCATTTTAGGCTGACATTAATACATTTCTTACCACTGATTAGTTACCGTGTTATGCATTACACATACCTTTTTTAACTGAATGGCTTTAGAAAGAATATTTTATCTATGATTAAACATTTTGACTTGGAAGCAGACAATAAAGCTAGATTATAATGACGCAATTTTTAATAGAAAAAACTATACCGCTTGTAACTGCACAAAAGGCACAAATTTGTGCTGCTTGTTTTTCATTGATACTCTATTTTAAAACCAATTGTCTCATCTTTTTCTATTCTATTGTTCCAGCTTTTAAAGAGGTAACCTCGCAAAATTTAACCCTTTCTTTGACCTTCATAGTGCTTTAGTGAACATATGAACACCTCGACCGCCTAACAGACAAAACATACTAAGATGCAATAGGTGAACTGGATTAGAACAAAGCCTTCGGAGTGTGGGAGTACAACGCTTGGCTTTTTGTTACAGATGTCTTTCTTCTCGAGGCCAGCCCCATCCAATTTTTTTATTTCCTGTTTGTGCTAGAGGTCCAACCAGCGGAGCGAGTGCATGTGCACTAATCAACACACACAGAAGAAGCTGGTTAGAGTTAAGATGGCGGCATGTGGGTGAGGAGGCTGGGATCTAACTCGAGCTTTTTCGCCCTTAAAAGATTCCTATGAATCCTCATATATACAGTAATCGAAAGAGTACCCATTTCCACACGTCTCGGTGTGATTTTGGATTAGCCCAATGACATCTATACACTTCGTGGTTCACCCGTTGCCCGGGACCGAGGATCAGCTCAATGACAGGTATTTTGTTGCGGCCCGTGGAAAAAGAAGACTTGAAATCAATATTTATGTGCGGGTAGCATTGCTTAGTATTCGAGGTAGTATTTGTGCTCGATGTTGACATTGTCATGTGAATATGTTCGGGTTTAAATTATTTAAATGACCCCCCCACCCGGGGGGTAAAACGAGGCCCGGCATTTTGAGGGATCCTTGTTAGCTTGCTGCTACCTAAACAGAGTCATTTGCTAACATGCTAACCTGTTAACTGGCTTTCAGTCGAATAGCTAACGCTAGCTGTCGGTTTCCTTGGTTCTCTGGATGGATTGGCTCTTAGTCAAAGTTGCGCGGTTGGGGGATGGGGTAAAGAGAGGGTATTAAAGGTTGTAAAACACAGCTTAGTAAAAAATTTAAATCTTTTTCGTGTACAGTTACCATATACGCTCTTTGACAAGTGTCATTGTTTGCTTTGCAAGCGTCTTGTTGATTTACCGTGATCTATGCAGCGGCTAACGTCAGCTTACCGATAGCTAGCTGCTAATGCTAGCAAGCTAGTTAATTCGCTACCACGCTCTTAAGAAAGCCAAATATTTGCATTTCAGGGCGTTTGTGGAAGGCTCTTCTTTTTCTTGACACTTCATTAAGCATTTAATTACTAACATCATTTGAAATTTTGTCACCGCTTGTCTGCTTTTAGCATTGCGCACTGAGATAAATATCTAAAATATGCAGCGAAGTACTGTTAGCACCATCGCATTCAAATTAATCCTGTTATTGACTTTAATAAGATGGCAAACCAAGGCTTTTAAAGTTCACGGTCTGTGCTGGATTCTAAATTGTCCTGAGTGCTCACACGCGACATTTTAAGTCTTTTCACTGTTGCCTTAATACAATGTGGCACTGCACAGTGTATTTGGCCACATACTACATTGTTGCTTGGAACAAAGTGCTGTTATGCATCACTCTGACTTTATGGATTTTTAGTTCTAGACTGAAGCGGTCGCTTATCGGTGGGTTTAGCGAGGGTGTCCAGGAGATTGTTTACGACCCTTTTTTGGCAGAACATGCGATTTATGATAAAACTATTTATAACACCCATTGAGACTTAACCGATTAATGAGCTGCTCTACTTAAAGACAAAGAGGTCAAGAAGTCAAAGTGTTTTTAGAATGACCTTGAGATTAAATACTGGTTATGGGCACGGGAGGATTTAAACACCCTCTGTTGGTTGATGTACGGTCCAAATCTGCGGGGATCAGCTTTGGTCTGATTGACAGGAAAGCGCAGTTTGCTCTTGATGGTCAGAGGCACCGCTGAAACATCTTGATTGTATGGACTATTCCTTCCTTAAAAGAGGTCAGGCTTTTTCGATCCCCAGGCATGCATGCCATTGCATGCTGCTGTCACCATGTGGTGCTATGCCCCCC